TTTTGTATTTGATTATTGAATAACCTTCTAAAGGAAAACAAAAATAAAATTTCAATGTCAGCTCATATTTATTGCTTATAATTATATTATTTGATATTTTTATTCTATTTTTTAACCTAAAATATCTCAATAATTATTAGGTATTAATAAGACGGCGAATTAGAAACTCCATTTCAATTTTCGCTATAAAAATGGCCCACAAATACAAATACAGAATATTTTTATTTTTCACATCTCTTTTCGTTTAAGGCCTTCGCTCACAGAATATATATATCTATTATAGTACTTTAGAAATATAACAAAAAATTATATAATTATATAAATAATGAATATATTGTCATATTTTTAATTTCGTTTCAAAAATACAGAAAATAATTATTTAATTATTCAATACTAGTTTATGCCTATTTCTTAAGAATTTACATAAACTAATGAATATCTAACCTAAAATCGTATTCAAGTTAATAAAAATATTAAAATTTTAGACATAAATTGTTTTTTCAATTTTGTAGGTATTTTGCATCAAAATAACTTAATACTGAATATCAACTCTTCCATCATTTTATTATTCAAAAAATTTATAAATAATTTTTTAAATTTTAAATATGTTGTTTATTCATCTTTATAATTACTGTCATTTTAAAATTTATTAGGACATCAAAATATATTCATTTAAAATAATGTGTATTTCACCTTCATTAGTGTTATTTTTTATGGTAATGTTGCCTGTTTATGAAAATATCCACACTAATCAATGAGGCCTTAATATTTGATATCTAATAAATGTTTAATTAATTTTAAAAATTCTGTAATAACGAAATACAGTAAGTATAAAAATTTACTTTTTTGTAAGATTAGAATATTGTTATCGTATATTAAAACATATGCATTGTATTTGATTCAAATCTTTTGTATGCAATGAAAATGAGAGACATTTAAGGTTTAGAGCCGAAGTGATTGCAATATACTGTATAATACAGTATTCATATGTTACTAAATACAGAATATTATTGAATAAACCTATTACTGTTATATAATACATTATAAAATACTTAATAATATGTATGCAATAGTAGAGTATAACGGTGTGAAAGTGTCAAATGTAATCATCTCTACAGCACTGTATGAGCAATAATATAAGAAAGTGAGTCCGACCTGAGGGCACATTTTGCACTGGTACTTTCTGCCGGTGCCGTTGGTTGTGGGTCCGGTGGATAGAGTATTGGATGATTTGAGAGGTTGCGGCACAACAAGCATTTGTTGTCCATTCGGTGATTGTGGGCGACTGTTGTTGTTGGCGGTGCGATGGCCGGCACTGGTATGACTGGCATACAAGTTGTGGTGCAGTGATGGCGATGAGTCTAAGCCGCCCGATCCGGAACGGCCTTCATCTACATGATTGGTGGGGTTCGCACCTAAACAGACATTCAATCAATGAATCAATGGATTCATGCAATTCTTGCATTCATATCACTAAATAAGACATCAAATGAACTCAAGTGGCAATACATTGGATATACTGTACAGCGATTTGAATGGAAATACACTGTTAGGAGTGATAGGGTTGGCACTCAACAGACATATATAATAGCAATGAGTGTATGAGACAAAGAATGGTTGTCCGACACAACTTCGGAAATCCTTACCATCAGAAGTCATAAGAGTTTTGAATTTTGGTTGATATAAAAAATTCTTGAGTTTGAAGAGTGATATCACAGGAGTAGCGGTGGATGTGTTTAATTGAGTGGCACTACTATTACATACATTTTGGCGCTGATTTGCATCTAAATTGGCGACAGAAACCGCACCACAACTACCGGTGCTAAATGTGGCACTAATTGAGCTCTCCTTAAGATCCATCATTTTGGCAACAATTCATACATTGGAATAACACTTCCACTAGTGATAGACAAATGGCTCTTGAGTTTAGATCAGTTGTCACTACTTTCACCAGTTATAGGACAATAGGACAGAGCAATCACTCGGACCACTCCATCCCACATAAGCACTGTTAGGCTGTTAGGGCCGAGCAAACAAACAATTATAAGCATTACTACAGTATCACAGAATCATACTTTAGTACAGACACCCAATATTACATACACTACTAGTTATCATAGTTAGCACATACAGTATACAGTACGGTAGGCCCACGATATACCGTAACAAAGCTTAAGCAATACTAATAGCAATAGCAGGTTCATTTTATTATACTGTTTCATAGAATCGGTGCCAACCCTATCACTCCTAACAGTGTATTTCCATTCAAATCGCTGTACAGTATATCCAATGTATTGCCACTTGAGTTCATTTGAT